TAAGGGTGTTCGTACCACCTGAACTCTGGCAGTTTTGTTCAGACTGACTTCAGTCTGGGGTGGATCGTACACCTGCAAGTGGTGGCTGGAACACATCTTACTTGGTTTCAACTCACAGGAGTTAATTTCTTCTGACGAGCTTTGTGATATGAATCAAAGCAGCATAAGCAGGGACATGTGACGGATTCACTGTAAACGTGTGCTCCTGAGTTGAAGTAAGTCAGCAGGACAGGTGCAACACAGGAAGGGCTGCCAGAAGAAAGCGCTGCGTGGAGACGGCTGCCGAGGAACTGGATCACATTCAGCCATCTTGAAGTGCATTGAGCTTTGATCTCTGGGCACTTGTACACACAAACTTAACTGCACCCAAGTCGTTTTCCATTTCCATCCCTTCTCATGATCTCATAAGACTGTATTTTTAGACCAGGCAGCTGAAAATACCACTGGAGTCCAGATTCTGCCTCCAAGTGGGTTGGGAACCCACCTAATTTGCAATTTGATGCTGTCAACTGTTGTCAGTTTTGCAATACACTCCCACCATTCCTTCATGCATTGAGAAGAACAGATTTCAAGGAGAAGGAAGCTGTTTCAAGGCACATGAAATTACTGCAATTTGCAGTGCATCTAATGCCTCCTCTGACCCTTTCATTGGAGCAGCTGAGACAGAGGGTGTCAGAAGTAGGAGGGCAGTAGGGTCATAAAGGCAAAATAGAAGTAGATCATTTAACCTGAGAGAAAACTAGGGAGAAATTATGCGTGCAAAAACAGAGATAAGGAGCTGCGCATATAAAAATCAACAAAAAAGCAGTAAGTTTGCAAGGTCAGAAGTGAAACACTTGGATTAAGGCTACTGTATAGACAACAAATAAGTATTTCTCTTTTTCAAGGCCTGTTTCATAAAAAAAAAAGCTGATTGTAACAAGTACACTGTAATTAACTGGAGATTTTACTAATATCTCACAATTTGTCCCTTAATGCTTCAGATTAGAAAAACTGCCCACTAATTTGAAACTGGAACCAATTTTAATAGCCTGTTTATATTTTAGTCCTTCATTTCTATTTTCCTATGTTTGAAACTTATTCTGTGGCATAATCTAGGAGAGGACAGAAAATAAAGACTTCTAAAAACTAATGCTGCATTGATCCATTTTTTTTACCATTGTCTTTATACTTACTTGTTGGTCAGGGCAAAGTGACTGAAAATCTTTCTGTGGAAAATGCTGCGTTACAATGTGCAAGTAGCACTGTAAGGGAGGAGTAGAGAAAGTGGTGAGAACAGCTGGTAGAATATCAACCCTTTTATCTTCTTTAATTTGAAAAAGCTTCCTGTAATTTGTTACTTTAAAATAGTTCAAGAAATTTGCCGCAGTTGGAAAAGTTCATTATTCTCTTCAACTTTCTAATCTCAATCTATCCTCTTTCAGTTTGAAACCATTACGCTTTGTCCTATCATGACACTCCCTGATAAAGAATCCCTCCCCTTCTTCCCTCTAGACCCCATTTAAGTACTGGAAGGCTCCTTTCCCTGGAGCCTTCTCTTGTCCAGGCTGAACAAGCCCATCTCACTCAGCCTGTTGTCACAGGGGAGGAGCTCCACTCCTCTGATTCTTTTTTTGTCCCTCCTCTGGACCTACTTGAGCAGTTCCATGTCTTTCTCACACTGGAGCCCCCAGAGCTGAACACAATACTCCAGCTACACTCATCGCCCAGCCTGCATCTCTGCTTCGAATTGGCACAGCCTGGGTGCAGGACCTTGCATTAGGTCCTGGTGAGCTTTGTGGGATGTGCACAGGCCCATCTCTCAAGCCTGTCGGGGTCCCTCAGGATGGCATCCCTTACAACCAGCATGTTGACCTCGCCACATAGCTTGGTGTCATCGACAAACTTGCTGAGGGTGCCCTTGATCCCACTGTGGCTGACAAAGACGTTAATTAGCACCAGTCCCAATCTGGATCCCTGAGGGGCACCACTCGTCACTGGTCTCCACTCAGCCATTGAGCCTTTGACCGCAACTCTTGGAGTGTGACCATCCAGCCAATACATTCTTCACCGAGTGGTCCAGCTGTCAAATACATGTTTAGACACAAGGTACATGACATCCGTGCTCTTCTGTTACCCATCAGTGCCCTTACTGACCAGTGCCTGTCATCGAAGGCCACCAGATTGTCAGGCCAAATTTGCCCTTAGTGGAGCCACGTTGGCTATTGCCGATCACCTCCTTATTTTCAATGTGCCCCAGCATAGCTTCCAGGAGAATCCACTCCGTGATCTTGCCAGGCACAGAGGTGAGTCTAACTGACCTGTAGTCACCTGGGTCTTCCCTTTTTAAAACAGGGAGTTATGTTTCCCTTATTCCAGTCTGCAGGAACTTCAGTGTCCTGCCAAAACTTCTCGACTATGATCACTAGTGGCTTAGCAACTTCACCTCTTGGTTTCCTCAGGACCTACAGGTGCTTTGCATTTCACTTCACCACTGACATTTTCAGTTGAAAGATTATTTTGTAATACATTCTGCACATTGTAATTCAGATAATTATGTAAAAAACACTTTGTGAATGCGTATTCTCTGCTGTATATACATCTTTCAGTAGTGGGTCATTTTAGATGGGCAACCACATAGAATTTTAATTTTGTCCTCTCTTTCCTATCTGCATGAATTCCTAGAAAGTGAAAATAAGAGATAGCAGCGTCTTTATAGCTGGAATTCCCACTAGTAATGCTGCTTAATAGTTTGCTGCAGGTCTTTGAACGTGGATTATAACAAGTGAAGTTCTCTTTTTTCAGGACAATGCTGTCTTTTAATATGACATTGAATGAATGTTGTTATATAATAATAGGAAAATTTTATGTAAATCAAGCTTCTGCTGCAAATATATATTTTTAAGTGCCTTTCTGTTGATTGCATTGCCTTCTGGGAGTCTTTACTGCCCTTGCTCATCGTAGCACTTCCTACAGCTGGTGGTGATTCACAGTTGGATCAGATTCTGAGGTCTGTATGGAACAAATGATGAAAACTGTACGACAGGAAGACAGATGTTTACATGACTTTTCATGGTTATGTTAGAAAAAGTAAAAATAAAGACTTAAATATCTGACTCCTAGTGGTAGCTAAGGCAGCTTCATTTCAGTTATCTGTGTTATACTTGTTCTGTCAAGTATCATATCTGTTTCTGTTATTCACTTACCTGTCAAGGAGACCAAAACTTCCATAAAGCAAAGGCAAAGGCTCATATTTTTACTGAATGCAGACTAGGCTTAATTTCCACCTTACTTATCAAGATCTTGTAGGGTATATTTTGAGAGTATCATTCTAAGACACTGTAACTTCCATTCAGTCCTTAACTCTCACTCAGACAATCTGTTTTGCTTTATGAATTACTTGTTGGGAACAGTATGTTGGGGACAAATGAATATGGACCATAAGGAGATATTCACTGGAGAAAGAAATATGAAGAACTTTACAGGACACAAGTTTATTAGCTAATTAAGTATAACATAGGTCAATGCTATTATTCTGAGTGATTTCTTCTGCCCACTGTGAGCTCAGTTCAGAGTGCTCCAGGTAAGCTGATACTGCAGGGTGAGGCTGCTTCCAGCAGATTTTTCTAGAATAACCGTGTATCTCTTTAGATAGTAAAAAGACTGCGTTTTGGAAAATCCAGCTCTATAAATAACATTTGGGACTGAAAAGAAGTCATTGCAATACATGGATTGCCCACCGGAGGGAGAGCTTAACATTAAAATATCTTCAGTGAACTTGCCGGATTTCTGTGGCGGTGCCCGAGCCTCCTACTGCGTGTAACAGGATTGTCGGTCTCTACTTTTACTTGTAAACAGTTGGGAAGATTTAAAAATTCCTTTCTGATTTCATTTACTTGGAACTATAGTTCACTCTTTTCATGTTACATGAAGAAGCTTTTTCCTAAAAAAAAATAGCAGTGTTGGTTTTATTTTTCTTCCGCTACAGATACAACTCACACGGCTTAGAGAAAGTAGAAGAGAATGTCTTCAGTTTGCCAGCAGCACTGTGTATCCAGTAGACCAACATACTTTTCTTTTTTGTGTGTGTCTGTTCACTCCTCTGAAAAAATACAGTAAAATGAGACTAGAAGGGATCATGCCGGTAATCATGTCTGGACTCTTGCTTCCAGGCAAACTGAACGTAGATGCCTGACAACAGTAAATCCTGATCCACATTGCCTTACATCTGCTATGTTTTGGATTTTCATCTTCCACTCTATTTTCTTCCATAAGAAAATCAGTTGCATAGTTCACAATTTATTCTTTACCAAAGAAAAAGTTCAATAAAGGAAATTATACCTCAGCCATCTCTACCAGGCATTTTTCTAGCCTATTTCAACAACTCAGGGAGAGAGCAAATGATATGCTTTTGCTATTTGTATTTGCATGGCAAATAGACAATTCTAGGGTTTTTGTGTTTTTCATTTAGAGTCAGATGACTCCATAGGAGATGAAAGTGTCAGTAACTTGAATGAAAACCTGGGAAAGAGCTGCACAACCAGTGATTCAGGTATGTTTTTCCTTTTTTGTACCATTTCGTAATTGCAAAATAAGCTCTGGAGTGTAAGCACCCTGTGAATGGGCTAGAACAAAAGTCAGTGGAAGGCTTCCGCTGTGTACTGGAGTTCACACTATTTAGCTGCCTTACTGTGTTGGAAAACAGGTGCCATTTTTACAGGCATGAGTTGATTTACTGAGATTGCCTGAATGTCTCTAGACATCGTCATTGTACAAAATGGTCAGTGATGCAGAACAATAGACTCACATAGGCAGGAAGCGACTTCCAGAAGTCATCCAGTGCAGTCACCTGTACAGGTACTCTTAATACTGCCACTCTGCTCTCAGAGAGGAGATACGTTGTGCCTGGCCCCTGCATAGGGTAAGTGAGAGGGAATAGGATGTGCTTTAGAGGCATCTCAGGGTGAGGAGAAACATTTCCAGCGTACGTGCAGAACGGGAATGAAAGGTCCACTTTGGACATAATTTAGTAAAACACCACAATCAATGGAGGTTACTGCCTGAAGACCTTTGCAAGTCTTGCATTTAAATATATGTACAAGTTCTAAATAAAGTTTTAAACTAAATATTGGACTGTGTTTACGTAGTACTTTGCAGACAGATATGAACGTGGTATTTATATCTCCGAGCCCAGTTAAACAATGCTGTTGTAAAAGACATCCCAGGTATTTTAGTTTTTACTTTTTAACCTTAGGTCTCAGGCAGAAAAAATTTGCAGCTGTCCACTGTGGTGAACAACCTGTGTTTGCCTACAGAGAACTCGAGAAGAACCAACTAAACGAGTTATCTTTTGGAATTTTGCCTTTATAAAGTTTGTGCTGGGACTGCGTCTTCTACAAGGGCTAGAAACAATCTAGGTACCTTTCAGGCCATCTCTGCCTAATAAAGCTGATGTTAGATCAGTAAAGTCAATGTAGATGCTTATAGCATATGCCTGCAAAGTGTTTACTATAAATGCTTGTAAAATAGTTTTAGGGGTTTTGCATATTAATACCCACGTGTTTTGTAAGCACATAGAAAATTCAGGATATCTCAGATCTAAATTGCTTCCCTAGAGCTAGGATTGCTAACTCTGAAGAATACGCTTTGAGCTTTGGCATCAACAGAGGCGGCTCATCAACCACGTTGAACTCTTTCCTCAGTGTGTCACAAGAAGTGTCTGGGCACAGAAGCTTCTCTGTTCTGGGGACAGCCACACTCTAGCAGTTGGTCAGGCTGATGGAGGCTTACTGGTACATGGCAGCACATATATTTGTATGGCCTCATCCTTTAAGATTCCTGAAAAATCTCCCGTTAAGTAAATTTGCCATTGGTACGTCCAGCAGTCGAGCAGAAAAAAATAAATGACCGCACTTACATGAAGAATGCAGAATAGATTTTTTCCCAGTGTTTACTTGCTATGTGTTCTGTTCACATGTGGGCTTTAAAACCAACTAGTTAAAATGTTTTTAAAAACATTCATGCTTTTTAATCACAGCTAGTAAACTCAGAGAGAGGAAGTATGAGGAAAAAAATCTAAGGAGATATACGTGGGCTTTGTGATATTTATGTATTTTATAATTTGAAATTTTGCAGAAAGGCTGTTGTATTAACAGATGTTTGAATAGTGTTTTAAAGCACTGGCATGATTTGGACTTTAATGAAGAGGATCATGCGGATTTCATTGCAGTTTTCTGTGCAAGGATCTTGTACATTCAAGGATAATGCTGGAATTAGGACAATAGAAGAATAATTGTCATGTTTCTTTTAGCCCAGAGCAGCAATTCCTACAAGCCTCATACGAAGGCAGACAACATCCCTGAAGTTTATACTGTGCACAATGAAAAGTCTTTAATGGAATCATATCCCTGTGTTAGCCTTTATCTAAACAGGGGCTGAGGAAACTAGGAGAGAGCTAAGTTAAATATTTTTTAGGCCTGGCAGTTAATTGAGGATGTTAAGGAACTGAAATTTAACCAAACAGATGGGTGATAAAGTACTAGTTTAAATATGATTGAACTATTGAATTTAGTCAACCAGAAAGCAAACAACGTTCTTCCTCAAAAGAGAGTAGTAGAAGTCAGATAAGTAACAGCAAGTACTGTCTGGTGTGAATTTCCCTGTGTTGCACTCACACTAAAAGGCAAAACAAGCAAAAAACACTTAACAATGGCATTCACATGTTTCCATCAGCACTATTTTTTCAAGCTTCATTACTTTTTGTTAGTTTAAATTTTTTTAATGGAATCAGGTATACTAGAAAAATACACTTATTTTGTGCGCAGTGTATCAGTGATAATAAAATCCTCATGATTCTTCATCTAATGATGCTATTAGGAAATAAAACTATAGGGTTTAGTTCCTCGTTTTTAATCTAATAGAATGAATTTCTGTCTTTTCTTCACAGAGGACAGTTAATGCTTGAAGGGTGATTTAAACACATAGGGGAAAAAAAACAAAACAAAACCAAATTGAAATAAATCCTTCTGGTATTAATAATGTCTGACTTCGTAGGTATATGTAAACTCATAAGACTTCATATGCTTTTCTTACTGCCTGAAATAATGCAACAGCGTTTTTCCACTTGGATCTGTTGAAGGTTAGTTGTTTCACATATATGAGCCATAGGTCTGAACTCTCAGGCATTGCACTTTACATGAGGGAAGGTTTTGGTCTTCAGGTGGCAAATGTGTGTGGCTTTGTAGTGAGCAGCTGCCCTGTGTACGAGTCAGGCTGGAAGCAGTGCAATTCACCATGAATAGGTGCGATACATTCTGCAGTTACCTCTGTCTTGTATGGGCAGTTGAATTTTCTTATCTATTTGGTCTTTATATTTTATAACTCCCTTCATCATTTTTTAAGTGGTCCCTGTCTCTTTTTTTTTCTATGGCTCCATCCTTGTTTTTCATCCTCTGGAAAGTATTTAAAAAGGTAGTTCGCTTGCAACCAAATACATTTCAGTACTGATGAAAGAGAACGTCACATATAATTGGCTAGATTATAAATACAGCAGCTCTGAAAACAAGCTTTGTGGGTCCCGGTGCTACTGAACTGTATCATTTGAATTCATCCATAATAATAGTCGTACCAGCATAGATGGGTGCAGACATACTGTACCTTATTCCACATGCCCTGGCTGATGACTGGACGTAAGCAGTTCTGCTCCAGAGTTGCACAGGTCCACGGAGCAGCACTGCCTATGCTCACACACCCTGTTTCTATTTATTCAGAAGATGCTTCTGATAGTAAATTAATATTTTTCCCTTTGACATTTGTTCAATATTCTGATAAATGTTCCCTGCCTGCTGTTTGGTACTTACATTTCTTTGTAACCTTAGATGAAGATGAAGTGGAGAGCAGAGCTTCACCTGAGCCACATCTGATCCTGAGAGATTACCAGATGGAAGTTGCAAAGCCAGCACTGAATGGGGAGAATATTATAATATGTCTCCCTACAGGCAGTGGTAAAACCAGAGTGGCTGTTTACATTACCAAAGATCACTTGGATAAGAAGAAAAGAGCGTCAGAGCCTGGAAAAGTTATAGTACTTGTTAATAAGGTATGTTGATCCATTTTTTAAAAGAACAGTGTTTTCAAACCTCATTTACTGTTAATACAGAACTTGTAAAATGAATATAAACACATTTCTAAGATGTTTAAAGGCATACAGCTCCAGACTGTCATTGCCATCGCACTATCGTCCTGGTGCAAGTATGAATTATTTTAGTTTACTCCAGGGCAAGTGGAAATTTACATGTGCCCTAATGACACAATTTCATGTTGGAAGGAATAGATCTAAAGTCATATCTTAAAAAAATAAAGTTATTTGATTTGGTGTTTAGATTTCGTAATAAAAACCACTGAATGCATCTCATAGTAGTTAGGGAATATTCTGTTAGGTTTTCTGATAATTGCTGTAATTTTTACAGTTAAATATTGCACATACACTATAAAGTAATCTTCTATTGTAACATTAAAACGTAGAAATACATTTAAGATTTTTATTAAAATAAAAGATATCCTTATCCTCCTATAAGAATAAAAGTGACAGCATGTGACAAGCTCAGTTAAAGAGCCACAGCCTGCGTAGTTTGTTCGTTCTTTCTAAGGCAGTTAAGCTACACTTCTTGGGACAGGAAGGTTTTGTAGGAGAAGTTGGAGGGAAGGGATTGGTTTGGGGATTTTTAGTGCTTGCTTTTGTTTTTTGTGGTTTATGGGGGTTTTTTTAATCCTAACCTGCAGCTAACAAGGGGATGATTGCTTTTTTTAAAAAAGTATATTTTGCACAAAATGTATGTTCACCTAACAGCATTGCTGGCAACCAAGCGTGTATTTTTTAATGGTATGTATGCTTTGCTTTAAATTCTTTGGAAACTTTTATTCAGGTACCGTTGGTAGAACAGCATTTACGAAAGGAGTTTAGTCCATTCCTGAAGCGTTGGTATCAAGTTATTGGTTTAAGTGGTGATTCTCAGCTGAAAATCTCATTTCCTGAAGTTGTCAGAAAAAATGATGTTATCATCTGTACAGCACAGATCCTTGAGAATTCACTCTTAAATGCAGCTAAAGAAGATGAAGAAGGTGTCCACTTATCAGGCAAGTTTTTAATTCTCTAATTTTACAGAAAGGCTAAAAGTATGCCTCTATTTTGGAAAATTGCAGAGTAAAAATGTGCCACATTCAGTAGGTAATGTTCTTTCCGTTGACTGGTTTTATAAATGTAAGCTGAGAGTCAAAACCAGATTTTAGTTAATAAGCATGCAATTTTTTCAAGCCAAATTAGACTCTTACAGTTCATTTGTACTAAATATTTGTTAGGCCTCCTGTTTTATCTAGCTCAAGCACAAGTTTGTGCAAACGCAACTGTACTGGGTCCACTTTCCAAGCCTGGGAGGGCATTGAGTTGTATCACATGAAAGCCATGAACAGGATGAGAAAAACCTTGTAAAAACTCAAATATGTTCAATAGTTTGAGAAATACAATGGAACACAAGAGAAAAGCCAATCTGTCATAAAAGTTGTATTCTTTAAACTCTTACAATTTTGCTGACTTACAGAGATTGCTTATACAGAGTTACTTATGACTGTATCTCTGAGATTCGCAGGTATAATGCTCTCCTAGAGCAGATGAAGGAAGTTGAAGAAAACAAAAGATACTAGATAGGATGAGGTAAAATTGTTTGCCCAGAGTACTATGGGAGATCAGAAATTAAATGATATCATGTGCCAGTGACATGCAAATAATGGAACAGGCCCTGACTTCAGCTCCAGGATTTGGGGTGCAGTGACCCTCCTCTGTGAGACGTTATCTTCCCCCTCTCTCTGCATGCACTCATCTCTTTTTCAGATGGGGCAGGGTGTAGTTGAGAGGAGAGCTGTGACATTCAAAGAGACAGCAGAGAAACCTCGGGGATTGGTTTGTGTCTGTCGGTGCCTGCTGCTGACCGGAGTACTGCTGATCCCAGCTAACTCCTACGGAGCCACTGGGGTATCTCACATGTGCCTCCCCTCCTTCAGAATGCCTAGACAGAGATTTTCTTTTATTTGTTTCCTTTCTACTGCACCTAAGTTAATCAATCTTCCCAAATCTGAATCATATGGGAATCCCATACAGAGGCATCTGAACATTTCTACAGGAACTGCTCACCTGATTAGAATTGGGCCGAGACCCAGCCAGCTTGTGTCAGGAAGGAGTGTTCTGAATGAGTTTCACACCTTGCAAGTCTCCTTCATAAGGACCTCTCTTTTTTTCCAGAAGTGCGGTGGTCCTGCAAACAGGCCCTGTTTCCTTGCTATTATGCCAGTGCTAGTAAGTTCAGTTGGAGCACAGCCAAGCAAACTTGAACATTTTTATGGTTATGACTTCATTAACTCACAGCCTGCGTAAACCAAATAGTTCTAAGTTTTTTATTCCTAATTTCTGTTCATACTTCTTTTCGTCTGCTTCCACAGAGGTCTCGATTACATATAACATGGAATTCCAGCCTTGGTGAAATGGAGTTAACCCTCTTAATTGCGTTTTAACCAATTTTTGCCCTCTTTCTAAGAGCTCTGTATCACTTGGATGTGGTGTTGAGTGATATGGTCTAGGGGTGAACTTGTAAGTAAGCTTAATGGTTGGACATGATGATCCCAAGGGTCTTTTCCAACCTGGATGATTCTGAGATTCTGTGATTCCTTAAGAAGCACAGCTCTTCTGCAGGTTTGGGCATTACAGAAATCAAAGTGAGTAATTTCATGTTGGCAAAATAACTGAGAAACTGCCAGCACTGCTTCTAAAGTCTTGTAACATGTAGAAATCTTAGAAATAAATAGAAATTTAGGTTTGAAACCACACAAGTCCAAACTAGAATCACTTAGGTGAAGGCATTTCCATAGTGACACAGAGCACTCGTTTGCTTTCCTAGTGGTAGTCTTCGGTTTAGCCTTTAAATAAAATTCCCCTTGTTCACTCTCCACCTTTCTTTAGGTTCTTCAAAGTTACGTGATATTTTCTCCAGCAGAAAGGCCAACTGAGAATGGCTCTCTGTTAGTTCCCACCTTCTGCTGCCAGTCATTGCAACCCCATTCCTAGTGATGTAAACAGGACCATGGAGATTGTCAGGATTGAAAAAAGAAAAAAAAAGGGTTTAACCCTGATCATTTCAGTGGTCTGCTTTGCAGTCAGTTCCACAAACATTTGTTGAATAGTAGGAAACAATGTTATTGGCCAGCTACAGGAAGTGTAGGAGCTCCATAAACCCGTTTTGAAATATATATATCACTGGCTGCATATACAGATCGATTAAAGAGATGGTTTCTGTTTATGAGAAATTTAAAACAAAAATAATCTCAGTTTTCCTTATCGTATAGTACTTTACTTTTTGATCTGAGTAAAAAGCACATAATACTTGTCTGAATCTTCATCAGTTTCCTCCACTACAAAAGAGAGACTGGTAGTGCTCCCACCATCTGTTTGTTCTTTCCAATGACACATCCGTAAAGTAATATAAACCTTTTAATTGGACATGCGTAGGGAAGAAATCTCTGTGTGGCTATAAAATGAAGCATATTTTGGTCGACAGGCCTTTGCAGAATGTCTGAAAGGCTTCTAACATGTTACGTATCTTATCATAAACAAACAGTATGGAGTTTGTCAGATACAGTTATGGATATAAAACATAGGATTGAGTTAAACTATGATATATTCTTACCACTGGTTATTAAAAATATCCCTCTGAAATTCTTAATACCATCAGTTTGATTTTGCAAAAATAGAAAAGCGATTTACGTTAAGTGAAATGTAAAACTCCTTGGCACATCAAGATGGCAGCAAAGATTCCAAAGTCCATTAAATATATACAGTTTCCATCCACAACTTCCTGCATCACTACAAATGTCCTAATATGTTCGGGTTCAAACAAACTGTCGGGTTCTTTTCAACAGTCCTTACCTGTAAGAAGATTTAGTTACACAAATTCTGCATCTGAGAAAAAACTGATCATTTTAGGGGTCCTTTTTTCTTTTCCAGATTTTTCACTCATCATTATCGATGAGTGTCATCACACTCAAAAGGAAGGTGTCTACAACAATATAATGCGACGCTACTTAAAAGAAAAGATGAAGAACAGGAAGCTGGCGAAAGAAAACAAACCACTGACGCCACAGCCTCAGATTCTGGGACTTACAGCCTCACCTGGTGTAGGAGGTGCAACGTCCTCCTCAAAAGCCGAAGAACATATTCTGAAAGTAAATAGCCCTCACACTTGCAAACCATCAAAGGAATATTGTCTTGTTCAAGTAAAACTTTTTAAGTCAGTCTTAGGATCCAAATGTTATTATCTGATTTACTCTTTTCATGTGTGCTTGGGAGTTCAGCTCACAGCCGTCCAGCAAATTCACCCACTACAAATTACTAAAAATTCATGTACAAATAAAGGTTACTTTACAGGGAAGTAGGGTTACTGAAAAGGGAAGTTTAAAAAAGTGCCTTGAAAAAATATTTTTAAGATTGGGGCATAAAATCCACAAAATAGTAAGGTTTTGTAGTTAATAAAAATTTTCTATTTCCACTGATGGATTAGAATTTACTGTGTATTCCTAAATGCTAGAGAGATCACAGGGTTTTTTAGCTGTATTTCTAGAATGACTAAGATGAGCTTTTGTGTTGATCCAAGAAAAAGAAAAACAAAGTTGAATACTTAAACAAACAGAAGCCAGTTGTGAGATGCAGGTGGCATGTGAATGTTTTTCTTTACAACAGTTAGAGCTCCTCATTGAGAGGGTCCTAAGGTACAGTTGCATAAACACCTGACACGAGAGAACTGGTTAAATTCTATACTGAAAGAAACTCTACTTGTACTTCAATGGATTTATATCGATAACACAAAAGTAGAATTACTTTAGTACAATTACTCCAGTGAAAACTCCTGACTAGCAAATTGCACGAGAACAGAATGCGATACTGAACAGGTGAGGCCTGCAAGAAGCTTTTATGCTGTGTTGAAGTAGAATTGTGAGGTATTTCGAAACAAAAAAAAATCTGGCAATGGAAAAAGCAGAGAATTCCTTTTCATCAGCTCTGAAATCTTAATGATAGGATGTGGGGGTTTGTGTCTAAAGCAATGTAAGCTGAATATGCAAGCTCAAATAGATGACTACTGCTAAAGACATTGAAAAGGTTGGGTGCCAGACTTCTTGTCTTCTCTGCTTATAAAAATGCTAACGTTTCGCCTTATTACTTTAAAATTAGTGACAGAAATGTAAATATTTTGTTCTCAGAAGAGATCAAAAGCAGAAAAGTCCAATTCACTTGTGCAGTTAGCACAGAAATTTTCTCTCTTTCAAATTCATAATTTCAAATTGTTTTCTAGTCTCAAGACCATATTTTCATAATTTCAAATTGTTTTCTACTCTCAGGACCAGCTCTTACTTTTATAATTGCTTCCTAACTTTTTTTTCTAGGTCACCATTGGTTTTGTTTATTTATTTTGTGCTCCAAATGTACTCTTCCACATTACTGATGATATATTTTCCTTTTCAAAATACTTGGTTTGCAGCCTGATCTACAAGTTTTTTGCTGTGTGCAAGGATCGCTTCTGGCCCAAAAAGCGACTTGTTCAGCTTATCTCAAATGCTTTTCAAAGACTTATGCTGATAGTGTCTGTATCCAGTTTTTGTAGGAAGAAAATTAAGTTATATAGAAACATTATCTAATTGAGAAGCTCTGTTGCATTAATTCACTTTTCATGTGGAATAACTCATTAAATGCTAAAAGATACAACATTTTGTTTTGTCCCAGATCTGTGCTAATCTTGATGCCTGTAGAATCATGACTGTTGAAGAGCACGCCTCTCAGTTGAAGAATCAAGTGAAGGAACCATATAAAAAGACAGTGATTGCAGATGACAAAAGAAAGGTATGTTTTTTCAAACAAACCAGTGTTAAAGTTATACTGCCCTTTAAAAGTGTGATGTATGATATCAAATCTTTTGGCTAATGCTCTTTTTCCATAGATTTATTGTGATCCATAGTGCTGATTCTGATTTGAACGTGTGTGTATTTGTCTAATGCTTTCCTCTGTATGGAAAGGTATTGGTAAAGTCAAAATAGAACTAAATTTTTACTTACCTGAGTCATATTTTGAGGTATCTGGGCAAAAAAAACTTCTGAACCATGGTTGAAGTGTTTGTATTGGAGAGATCATATATTCACTAAAAAATATGTTATTTCACAGTGTATTTTTTGTAATATAAACTGTTTATTTCCTCTAAATGCATTTAGCAACTTTTTTTTAATTTAAGGTTTAAAATTGTAAAGAATTACTCACTGTGTAAGTAGCTACTGCTTTTGTTGCCAGAAGAGGCATAGTTACTTTGGTAATCAATTTATTTCTAGGATCCATTCAGAGAGAGAATTATTGAGATCATGACAGACATTCAAACGTATTGCCAGCTCCATCCAAAATCTGAATTTGGAACTCAGCCGTATGAACAGTGGGTGATTAGAGAAGAGAGAAGAGGTAACCGCACAGCAAAAAAAAAAAAAAATTATTGCAGCTTTGGACTTCTTTGGATCATTTTATACACAGGCATGTTTTTGTACTTTTTGTTTCTTGTTAGCTGCAAAAGAAGAAAAACGCAAGGAACGTGTCTGTGCAGAACACTTAAAGAAATACAATGATGCTCTCCAGATAAATGATACCATACGAATGGTGGATGCGTACAATCACCTAAACAACTTTTATAAGGAGGAGAAAAGTAAGAAGACAGTAAGGAGCGACGATGATGATGATGATGATGAACCAGCAGTATCGAAACAGGATGAAACAGATGAATTTCTAATAGGTTTATTTCATGGTGAGTTTGAAACACATTGTGATATTTAATATTTGAAATCCATACATTATGCACTAGTATGATTTGCATGGACCCACTAATTTTTACATCCTAGAGATTGCCACGTTGCTGCTTATGGCACTGTCTGGAATGTCCCAGGTCACACAGTTATGGAGTACATGAAGCAACATCATAGTATAGTCATGTCCCAACAGGTTGTAGAAGTTCTTCAGCTTTGGCTCAAGGGCACTTTCTTTTTGCTGGTAGGAAGTAAAAGCTGTTCTCAGCTTTTCTCCAGCGAAGTGTCCCTGAGACCACTGACAGATTCATAGAATGTGTGTTCCAGTAGACATTCCTGAGGGGCAAAAAGCTAAGCAAATGGAATACAAAAGTAATGAAGCAACACCTTTTTAAGCCTCCTTTTCTACCAGCAGTTGTTTGTCGATATGCTAAGGGCTGGGAGTGATGACCGTGAGGAAGTTAATTAGTGAGAGAATTAAACGCAGAATTAAATTCCGAAGACCAAAGTTAGTTGCCTTTTTTTTAAGACCATTCACCCCGGAACTAGGATTCATTCACTCCTTGACACACTAATCTTGACTTCCATTGTATTGGACAAGGTGCTGTTCAATAATCTGCACAAGGTGATGACATCAGAGTCACTGTAGTATCTTAACACTCAAGGACTCTACCTTTAAGTGTTATTGCTGTGTTTACATCATCATGTGACAATGACATAGGCTTTTAAGTACGAGAAGTTTCTTAAAAATTTAAAACACATGAGGAATCCTTTCTGGTCACGGTCAATAGTGCCTGTTGAAGAGAGTCATTCATTTAACATTTCACTGAGCGTACTGAAATGTGTTTGAAAGCTGCAATACCAATAACATTGTGCCAATCCTGCTGTCTGTTGTATTGCATGTTTCTAGAGAGGATTCTGCTTCAACGAATGTCTCAAGGACGGTTTATGTCTAAATTTATAACAACATTATCAGATGTGAGGGCTGTGCATATTAATCTGTTTCTTCTTGTAAGACTTTTTCCATTATTTTAAAACAGTTGTGCAAATACTTTAAGCTGTGATTTATCTCTTTAATACAGTGCACTTAACTCTGTAACACTTTATCAAGCGTTAGGGCTGGTTTAGCTCCAACCAGGACACACTTCTGTAGTGTGGACAGAGCTTTTTCTTTTGCTTATTCTCATCATGGAATACAGGCAAAGTGTATGTCAAAAAGTTAATGATGATTTATTTTGACTGGTGTGTCTTTAATGAATGTAAACTCACTTGCAAAATAATTGGTATGGGCAGCTCTTCAAACTGGATGTGAATTCGCCGTACTGGGAAAATAATATAGAAAGCTGCTCTTCGTTTTGTTTTTTAACTAGAGCTGTTATTTTACATGTTTTACTTTTTCTTAATCTATATCTGCTATTTTTAAAGCAAAAAAGAAACAGCTGAAGGAGTTGGCTAGAAAGCCAGAATATGAAAATGAGAAGCTAATACAGTTGCGAAACACTTTAATGGAGGAGTTCACGAAGACTAAGGAACCTAGAGGAATTATTTTCACAAAGACTCGGCTAAGTGCCTTTGCTCTATTCCAGTGGATTAAGGATAACCCAAAATTTGAAGAAGTGGGAATTAAGGCCCATTATCTTATCGGTGCTGGACATAACAGTGAAACTAAACCCATGACTCAGGTACAGAACTACGCACTATAGCCTTAAAATCTTCTTCATGATTTGCGAAAACAGCTTGTTTTAGTACTAGAACAATGGACTGAAGTTCAGAGCCTAGAATTCTGGTTTCATACCTGCTGGCAACTTATCTTCATATGCTACAAGATGGGTGAATAACAATGTCAGAATAATTTTATTTACACAGGAAACAAGGTTTTTTTGGTTTTGGATTCTGTGGCAATAACAGGCAACCATTTCCTAGAGTATACAGTCAAAAGGGACACAAGTTGTAGTGAAGCACAGGAAGAAAAAGTGAACAAAATGACAATAAGTAAATGAGTTTATACTTATTGGGAGAACAGTAATTCAAATTATATTTCAATTGCTGAATTACAATGTTGATTATGCCTGTCTTTTTCTGGCATCATTGCTTCATCAAGTTACAGCAGTTTATATACATGTTTCACAATGATGCATAATCATTGAAAGAGAATTTGCCAAAATTTACAATGAAAATATCAAAATTGATTATTCAGTAGTCCCTCTCATGCCACTGTGTTGACTTCATACACAACATCTCTCTGATGATTTATACCTCCAAATTAAACATTTTCAGATAAATTTCTTCAGTATCCTAAACCCTCTCTTCTATTCTGCTTTTAATCCACACAAAATTGCTACTTCAGCATTTAAGCAAAAAAGGTGTGGTTTACCGCTGGGCAGAGTCCATTTTCTTCAACTACTCTTGGTTACAAAAAAAAAGTTAGGAATGGTTCTCTCAAAAAGTTGCTTGTTTACTGTGAAAATTTCATATTCAATCTGTGCACCACATCACACAAACAAAGCAATAGCCTCTACATTTTCAAACTGAATATAGCAAATAGGAAGTTTCCATCCCTCTGCTCAAGCTTGTTCGAAATCTCCAGCTAATTCCGAAGTCCATGTTTTGGATACTTTATTTTTTAAGTGTATCATTGCTGTGCTTTTGCTAATTCCCCAAATTATGATCCCCATTTATTAGGTTTCATATTTAGTCTGTGCACCACATCGCACAAACAAAGCAACATTTTCAAACTGAACATAGCAAATAGCAAGTTTCTGTCCCTCTGCTCAAGCTTGTTCGAAATCTCCAGCTAATTCCGAAGTCCATGTTTTGGATACTTTATTTTTTAAGTGTATCATTGCTGTGCTTTTTGCTATTCCCCAAATTATGATCCCCATTTATTAGGGGGAATTATAAATGATTTGGAACTTGACTAGAAGTGCTGAAGTCTATACCTGAAGCTGAAATTACTGAAGTGGTAGAAACTGAAAGCCTCTGAGTAACTACTTAATTTGAAAATTATAGAACAACAATATTATCAAATTCCTAGCACCTATGAAATGGGCTACAAAGTTCCAAGCTCAGTTACCTTAAAAAGATCGGCTTCTGCTCCCTCCTCCCCTCTCAAAAAAGGTGCTGAGCACCAATTATATTAAATAGGAACCCTTGCTTGTGATCCTGAAAAGTTGTTGAAGCCACTTGGTATTTGGCAAGCCACTCTGAAATGACTGAATTCCTCAAACCTCTTAATTAGAAGAAACTGATGACAGTCAAGGTACTGATTTTTTATATTTTTTTTTTAATTTACAGAATGAGCAAAGGGAAGTTATTGATAAATTCCGAGGTGGAAATGTAAATTTACTTATTGCTACTACTGTAGCTGAGGAAGGCCTAGACATCAAAGAGTGCAACATCGTCATTCGCTACGGCCTCGTCACTAATGAAATTGCCATGGTGCAGGTAGGAGTGTACTGCATACCTAAGGTATTTTTACAAGTGCTTTTTTGTTTGCAATATGCAAATGGTGAATTGTATACCTGGGGTTTAGAGAGAATTTTGAAATACTTGTGTGCTGAAAGGTTCATTTCCAATTGCCATCCTCAGCTGGCGTGCAGTATAAAATTTGCCTCCATGTGCGCCGGTGTAACATCCATTTAAAGCTCTGCACAAACAGTAAGTTCTTTTAATAGAAAAAGTATGAGAATATCAGCAGCAGAACTGGTTGATGTAAAATGCATTTGTACCTCCACCAAGTAAAAAGAGGTAATTGTGTATCAGAATACCAGTTTGTCCATCTTCTCACTTAATTTGTGAACACAAACATTTATATATTTAGTATTTAAGTGCATGCTTATTTTTTGGTGACAGAATACAGTTTCTGCTTTGCAAGGTGTTCTGCTAATAGCAAATCTCCTGAGTACTATTTTCACAGGTATCTTCAATGGTAATGCAGAAACAGTAGGTGTTATTCCGTGATTCTTTATCTGTCTGTGGAAAAAAAAATGCTCTGTGGGGACACTGCATAAGGAACAGCACATGTCTGCCATTGCAAAACTGGGGAAGAATGTGATGTTGTAGGGAACATCGGGCTGTTCCTGTTGTATTTCTTGCAAATTGTAGGCTCGTGGTCGAGCTCGAGCTGATGAGAGTACGTATGCACTTGTGGCTTCGAGTGGCTCAGGAGCTGTTGAACGTGAAGATGTTAATACTTTCCGTGAGCAAATGATGTATAAGGCCATTCGGCGTGTCCAGCAGATGCCAAAAGAGGAGTATTTAAATAAGGTATTTACTGCAGCTCTGCACTTTCCCTTTAAAGAGGACTGCTTTATCTCATAAAAAGTATTTTCTATTTGAAATCTACTTAGGGGAAGAAAATTAAAAATAGTATTAGTTATTTCATATGGCCTTGAATCCTTCTGCCAATATTTGTTTTTATCATTTATGTTTTCTGGGTCTGCTTTTCTACTGGTAAGGGGGGAAACACGCAAGTTGGGAAAATGGACTAGAAGTCATGTTGTCAGTGAACTCAGTAAAATAACTGAAAAACTGCTCCTGCCATTCCGCCAGAATGTTACAGTGCTCTTACTGATCTCTTTCTAGATTAAGGATTTCCAGTTGCAAAGTATAGTGGAAAAACAAATGAAGGCAAAGAGAGATCAGCGCAAGACATACACAAAAAATCCTTCACTAATAACATTCCTGTGCAAAAATTGCCACAAGCTGATATGCTCTGGAGAAGATATACAAGTTATTGAAAGCATGCATCATGTCAGTGTGAAAAAAGATTTTCAGTAAGTGTTTATGAACTACTTTATCTCTTTCAGACACAAACAGAGTATCTTTTCAGCAGAGCTGTACAGGGCCTGTAAGCCTGTAGGCCCTGTGAGGAAAAAAGATTTTTCAGTATTGTCAAGTCCTGGGCTCTGTGGAATTTGCAGTTAATGAGTTTGAAGGGTAAGAGTTTGACTGCGGCCAGGTCTCAATCGACATATCAGACATGAGCTGTGCAGTAATGACTGTATTTAGGGAACACTCATACTGGTGACACACCCCCTTCAGTTCTCCCAGTGTTCTTACTCGTTGTCTCCATTGCAGAGATGCCGTCTAGTTTGGTAAACATTTGTGATAAACTGTGTTTAACATTTCTGTGCCATGATGGCAAGGGGTTACTTTCTTTTCCCACTTATAATGAAAATTAAGAGTCCAAGAAAATATTTTAATTCAACTTCTATTGCATTTGCTTACTACAGTAAATTTATAATGGGTATTGCGCCTTATTGATCAGTCATGTAACAGACACCACCCTACTAAGTTACATCCCTCCAAAGTTCTCATGTAACACTGGTATAATTTGTAAAGACTTTCTGATGAGTTATGATAAATTAGTATCCATATGGTGAAAAAAATAATACTGAGCTGCAGCCCTAAACATTTGTCCTGGGTTTAGCTAAAACGCAGTCCTATTTAGTGATTTTTACTTTTCAGTTTAGTCTCTTCTAAGAGGCTGCACTTTCTGAAGGTAGCAGCATGTT